CTACCACTTGAGCCACAGCGCCACTTCCGGCTTTTTTCTTTTTGCTTATGTGGTGCTGGGGAATTGAACCCAGGGCCTCATGCATGCAAGGCAAGTGCTCTATCACTGAGCCACCTTCCCAGCCCCCTATTAGCAAAATTCTTGTGATGCTATAGAACTGTTTCTTTCAGACTGTTGATGTAATTAAGCTGTTAGAAGGCCAGAAGGAGCTGAATTATTTTTCTACTTTTATAATTATATATAATATATTCTGAGCAAACTCAAGTCATTATAAACTAAAAAGAAAAGAATGAGTTTGTGGAAGTGGCGCTGTGGCTCAAGTGGTAGAGCGCTGGCCTTGAGCTGAAGAGCTGAGGGACAGTGCCCAGGCCCAGAGTTCAAGCCCTACGACCGAAAAAACAAAAACAAAAACAAGAATGAGTTTGTGTTTTCAGCCATATATTCATAATTTTTGCAGAAGACAGATAATATTACTGTTTAAACTGCCCCCATAATCTTTTGTTTTTTTTGGTTGGTCGTGGGGCTTGAACTCTGGGCTTGGGCGCTGTCCCTCAGCTCTTCAGCTCAAGGCTAGCGCTCTACCACTTGAGCCACAGCGCCACTTCCGGTTTTCTAGTGGTTTATTGGAGATAAAAGTCTCATGGAGTTTCCTGCCCGGGCTGGCTTTGAACGGTGATCCTCAGATCTCAGCCTCCTGAGTACCTAGGATTACAGGTGTGAGCCACCAGCGCCTGGCTCCCCATAATCTTATATGTAATAGTTTAGTAGTATAAGACTTATGTTCAGTGTGTTAGGTTTATTTGGGATTTGTTTGACGAAAACTAGAACAGTATCAATTTGGATTTTTGTTTTCTAGATTTACAATTTGTCCCAGAACATTCAGGAAGATGATCTTCAACAGCTGCAGGTATATATTCTTCACAGACATTTTGATATCATAATACATCATTTAAAGTTTTCAGTCGAAGAGGTTGAGTATATTGCATATGCCTAGCATATGCAAGATGCTGGTTACTATAAAAATGTTTTAAGAGAGGAAAATTTTAGAGCTGAGTAGGTTTTAGCAAATGATTGCAATATGGAGAGGAAGATTTTTTGTTCATAGTAATTCTCTATACTCTGTGTATCTGTTGCTGAGGTAGAGCAGGGGTGGCTGGGAATGGCCTTTGTCATTTGAGCAAAGAATGGAAGAAAGTGGACAAGGTGTATCTGAGGATAAGTACTACCGGAGAGTGAGCAGTGAGAAGCGAGACTAAAATGTAGAGTGTGCTTGGCAGAATAGGGGAACAGCATGGCAGCCCACAGGTAGAGTTGAAAAGTTTGATTGTGGTCCTAAATGATGAAATCAGAGAGGCAGTGAGGTCGTACGTATTTCAGGGCTTGGGTTTTTCCTTTGGAGAAGATCGGAGCCATAAGGTTTTAGCAGACGAATAGTATTAGCTGATGCGTCACGAAAGAATCACTTGTGGCTGTGTTCAGAATAGATTTTTAGAGGGAAAAGGATATGTTCAGTAAGATGAGTTTTGGAGTTATTTCAGTAATTCAGGCAAGTCTAGATAATCTTAAATTCAAGGAACTATGTGGCTTAACAATTGCCAGCTATTGTTACTATTCTATTCCTACTACTGCTATTACTGTGACTTCCGTTCTCCATAGCAGAGTTCTTGTTTGTTTCTCTCATTAGGTCCTGAGGGATGGGTGCAGTCTTTAGCATGTTTCTCTAATTCCTCCTCTCCCTGACATTGAAGAAAACATTAGAATTTGAGTGAATGAGGGTGTCATTATCGGAATTACCTTGAGTTATAAAGATTTATGTATATGTAAAATGTATATATTTATTTTACATATATATTATATATAACATATATAATATGTATTATGTATGTTTTATTATATATATATATATGTTTTAAAAAAGAGAATCATTCTCTAACATTAGTCATAATGTTATTTGTTTTGTTTTTTTTTTTGGGTCCGGTCGTGGGGCCTGAACTCTGGGCCTGGGCACTGTCCCTCAGCTCTTCAGCTCAAGGCTAG